GGAACAGGCTGCCCACGGGAGGTGGTGGAGTCGCCATCCCTGGAGGTGTTTAAGCAAAGACTGGGTGTGACACTCGGTGCCATCGTCTGATTGACAAGGTGGTGTTGTGTCACAGGTTAGATTCGACGACCGCAGACATCTTTTCCAACCTAATCGATCCTGTGATTCTGTGACCCGGACAGGGCTGAGGCGCCGCGCTGCTGAGGCACCGGGGCCCGTCCCTGCAGCAGGACATCGGCCTCCAACACAAATCCTCCATCACAAAACAAGCCCGTTGGGCTCGGGGTGTGTGGGGGGAGGTGGTTTGAAGCGCTAGGTTCCCAACCCCAGGCTGCGCGGCGCCGAGGTCAGAAAACTACAACCCTCACAGGCGGTGCCACCGTCGCCATGTTGGGGCGGGGAAACCCGCGGTCACGTGAGTTCCGGGCAGGGCGCGGGCCAGGTCGGGTCGGTCGGGTCGGTGGGGTCGGTCTCTTTGTTTCCCTTCCTTCTCCGGCTTACCGGGAAGTCACTCTGCCAAAGCAGGAATGGCGTTCGCCTGCGGAGCGTGGGATCAGGACGCCTCCAGCCACCCCGCACTCGGCGCGGGGCCCACTGTGAGCCCGTTCCTGAGCCTCCTGCTCTCCATCTCCGCGGCGTTGTCCGAGGCCGAGCTCGACTCCATGAAGTTCCTCTGCCGCGACAAGATCACAAAGAGGAGGCGCGAGTCTGTGCGGAGCGGTAGGGAGCTCTTCGAGATCCTGATGGAGCAACAGCACATCGGCAGCGACAACCTGCACTTCCTCAGGAAACTGCTCGAGCGCATCCGCAGGGGCGATTTGTTGTCACAGGTGGAGCAGTTCGAGGAGAAAGGAGGGCTTGGTACTCCTGATGATCAGTCAGATGAGCAGGAAAAACGTAGGTGGATTATAATATATATTATAATGTATATATATTTTACATATATATTTTATCTAAGTTATACTTTTGTATATGTATAATTATACATATATATGTGAACGCAAACGGCTTTCCGAGGTGGAAATTCTCTCTATTTTTTTTTAATCTTTTTTTAAATCTTTTTATTTATGGTCACTGGAAAAACGAGTTATGTATGTGGAATTCCAAGTATATCCAGTATTTCACGTATAGCCAAGTAAATCCAAGTATTTCAGAATGTGCTGTGACTCTCAGTATGTGCACTGCACCAAGAGCAGTAGCATTTTGCTAAAAAAAAAAAAAAAAAACAAAACCAAACCGAACCCTCAACTTTTAAACATTCTCTTGTATTTCTTAGTAAAGCCATGGCTAACTTGATGTATTTCTGCTTTTTCAGGTCTTCTCAAGTTAGCTAATGATGTCATATGTGAGAACATTGGGAGAGACTGGAAAAAGCTGCTGCGACAACTTGGCATGCCAGAAGTGAAACTGGACAGAATAGAGGCAGACTATCAATTTAAATCGTATGAGCAGCTTGTCCAGGGACTTCGAGAGTGGCAGAGATGGAAGGGAAAAGATGCAAAGGTGGCTGACTTAATAAAAGCTCTTCGGGGCTGTCACCTGAATTTGGTGGCAGACTTAGTTGAAGAGAAGATCTCACAGTTGAACACTGGAGCCAGATGAAATCAATATCAAAACACTTCCATGCCCCTCAGATATGGATGAAAAAAGCAAAAGTGCCGCCTTCTCTTCTGGACCAAAATAATTATCACTGGTTGCTTATTGTGCCATTAGTTTAGGTGCCTTAGTAAATTAATTTCTGGACACAGGAAAATTAACATGAAAACAGATTCTTTTCAGGTGACACTTTGTAGCATGATGCTTCCTTTAAGATATTTTAGCTTTTAGAAGACCTGAGCACCATTTTGTAGAAATTCTCACACTTTTGTTCTGCCACCCACCTGAAAAGATTTGCTTTACTGCAGATGCTTTTTGATTCATCTTCTCTGGAAATACATCCATGAGACACTTCTGAGGCAATTGTGGTTTAAAATTTCATGGAGAGGTTGGATTTTTTTTTTCTATTATAAATGTAATGTGAAAGGGAGAAGGAGTATCTTAGCTGTGTACTGGATTTTCCTTCTGAGAAGCATAATATAATTTGCCAAATACATTTGCTTTCTGTCAAAGGATACTAAGATGACTGTAACCTCAGACCCCAAGACTGCAGTGCAAGAGAGGTATTAAATGTTGTGGTGGCTTTTTCTTAGTAAAAATATGCCCAGGTTTGAAAATAAACTGGTTTAAATCAGTACCAAGTGCCTTCACCATCCTGAAGAAAGTGTTCTCCTGAAACTACCGAAGAAGTTCTGTGTCTCTCAGATGTTTACAGCAGCCTCTTTTGAAAGCTGTGCCTGCTTTAGGATCCTTTGCTAGGAATTCTTTCCTAACTTCTGTCACAGAGGCTGCTCATGGTTGCTGGCAAGTGCAGCTCAGCTCCTGGTGACAAAAAAGTGAACTGTGCCAAAAACCTAGAAAACAAACTGGTTCCTTTTGGAGGGGTGTGAGTAATTCTGTATCATGGACTTTTTTCTGGCAATATCCTGTGAAGATCAGCTATCTCTGGCCAGGTTGTTCTCTTCAAAGATCCCTGCAGATCCCATAGCTCTTCCAAGTCCTGTGCCATTTTTTTAGTTCATTCCCATTGCTTGACATTTTCTTAAAGTTGTTATAAGCAATTCACAGGCGAAAGAGGATTTATGAACAAGACCAGATTCAGTTCTCAGGTTTAATCTGGGACAGACTTCACTAAATGGCCTTCACACCTGACCTAAGGCTGGAAAATTTGCGCAGGCTTTAAGATGTGCAGAGCTGTAGAGGCCTCTGGGGACCATCTCCTGTGCCAGGGGGGAGAGTCCTCTGAAATTGTTATTGCTTGAATGATTGTGGGATTGTTTGCTACTGCAAACATCCTCCAAACTGCCTGAATAGATGCTTGAAGAGGCTTCTTTTTTGCTACTGTATTTGTCTGCCTTTTAGCTCCTTTTGAGTTCTTTTCACGTGGTGCTATGACTGTGAAGGCCAGGTGTAAGCATGTGATGTGTCACTGCTCTGCAGAAATGTTGTGACAATGATAATTTTCAAGTTTTTGTTACAGTTGGTGCCTCTTGTTTAAGCAGTGACTCTTGAATACTTAATTGAAGTTAATGGAAACTGCTGTACGTTCACATGACAGAAAAACATTTCATTGTGTTGACATTTTTCATTGTGTTTTCATCAAACATTTTCACAGTGTTTTTTCCTTAAATGATTTTTTACCCCATTCCTGGAAGTGTTCAAAGCCGAGTGAGACAGAACTTGGAGCCACCTGGTCCAGTGGAAGGTGTCCCTGCCCATAGCAGGGAGTGGAACGGAATGATCTTTAAGTTCCCTTCCAACACAAACCGTTCCATGATTCTGTAATAATTCTCAGTATCTTCCTAGCTGTAGTATATTAAGTATCAGTGATTGTATCCAAGCATAGGGTAATCTAGGAGTTTCCGCCTGTCTGCATTTTGGGCAGGCAGAGTTCTCCAAGTACTGATTCTAATACTTGTATCAGTTGCCAATTCCAGACTCCCAGGAGGAGATACAGTGCTGTGCTTCATCTGAATGACCAGCTCAGATGTTTTGGGGTTTTTTGCTTAATAGACACAGCATTCATTCTACAGTATCTAAAGAAAATGATTGCTTCAGACTTTTTTCCTTCTCTGAACACTCCTTCTGAGCAGAGCAGAGAAACGAACAAGATGAGTTGTGTGTGTGGTGAAACAGCTCTGCAGCAGTTCCAAGTTCAATCTCTCTGGTAACATGTTTTTCTTACCCATTTTTAATAAGTCTTCTGGTTTACAGAAGAGAGATTGATCTGGAATATAAAAAGTATACTGACTACTGCATAGAACCAAGATAATTTAGGAATCAATCAGATTAATTTGTTAATTGTAGCCAAACACTCATCAGCTACAAGAAATATTCTGCCTCAGAAGATAAAAACTTCTTGTTTTCATAAGGATTTGTACTTCGTTAATGTTTTACTGCATATGAAAGCAATGACCTAGATTGCATCAGTCTGTGCAGTACCTCAGGGCCAATTAAAACTGATTTTATTAGAGATTAAAATGTTTATGTGAGAACAAAATCAAATGAAACAAAGGGAACAAAACCTTTTTTATTGGGAGGAGGGGTAAGGAAAACGGGTGCAATTTGTAAGGAAATGTTTTCTGATCCAGTTACCAGTTATTTTCAAATTAAGCACCTTGAACTCATACATAGTTTTTATAATTTGAATTGAAGCTTTATATTATATAATTTTGTGTACATTTCATTAAAAATACTTCCTTAAAAAAAAAACAAATGGAACTGTTTTGTTATCTTATGGGATTGATGTCTGTGATGAGACCTCTAATTGGGAGGAGGTAAATGTTAAGGACACTTTTAAAGCAAGGAGCAGTGCTAAACAGGCATTATGTTACCAGTGTCCTTCTGGGGACATTAAAGAAGAAAAAGCAAAAAGCTTTGTTACTGCATTTCTCAGAAGTGCTGAACAGGCTACAGTTTTCCTCAGAGCAGTAGCATTTAAATGCTGTCACTCAGAGTAGCGTAAGAAGAAAAAGATTCTCTGCCAGCCCTCAGGAGCCTAAAATTGAGTGGCAGTGCAGTGTGTGCATGGGAGATGCTGGTAAGGATGGCATATTTGTTTTATAATTAATTAAAAGCATAGCTTATGGTTTATTCTGTTGGTCTAGGATTTTAGGGGATGTGTTCAGATGTTAAATTGATAGAGGCTTTAGTGTTCTGTGGAGTTTATCCTGGCACTGAAGTGTCAGCCTGCACTTAGAGCTGTGAATGACTAAGACAAATAACTTAATTACCCAGTTTATCAAATCCTTTAGGATGCTCTGCAACAGTATCTACCTGTGAGGAATTACTAAAACCTTTCCCTTTTGGTCTCTTGAGGACCTTGTTTCCTTACAGCCTTGAGAAAACAACATATCAAAACATGTGGAGAGTTTTAAGTGCCATCTCAGGAGAATTCTCATTGTGGCAGATTGTTTTTCCCTGTCACTTCTCAGTCCCTTACAGTGCTTGCTATTTCCTATAATTTTTGAATATATCAACTATATTCACACATGAAAGTGTTTTTTCTTTTTTTAATTGCATTCTTTTCATTACCGAGTTAAAAGAACTTTTCTAGATTATTAATTAAAAATCCTCTTATACAAATTGGTTGTCGTGAATATTTCAAATACAATGCTTTGCTTTCCTTTTTCTCCATTTCCACACACAGGCAACTGTATTTCCTCCAGCTTTTGTTTCATTCCTAAAATAATTGGCTACTTTCTGAACTCTAATTGCTTCATTTAATTGTCTATCCAAAAAGCTTGGTGACGCTGTGTCTCCAAGCTCTCTCAGCCTGTTTAATTCAGGCTTTCTGGTTGCGTGTTTTTCAATTCAAATTTATTTCTAATCACTGTCTTTTGCCTTTCTCATTCCCTGCATGAATCACCTATGCCCTTAAAATGTGTTCCAGCACAAATATTTTCTAAGTTGTTTTCCCTCTTTGATTTATTGCTTCTTTTCTCTGCCAGTGTTTTGATTGCAGGGGTGTACTGGTAGATTTATAGAAAGTAGTTCACTATATGCTATAAAAACAGGAGTTGTGGGGGTGAGCTGAGGGGTAGGGGTAGGAGTTGTGAGTAAAGGTTCAAGAACTTTTGAAGAATCTTTGTTTTCATAAAAATTGTAGCTGAGGGTTGCTTCATGTGAAGAGAGTATGTTGCAACGGGTGCTGGGAATTGTAGGTTTGGAGACAAGGAAGCCCAGTCTGACTCAGCTGCCGGGAAAGCCAGAGGAATTCAGGCTTCTGCATGGGAATTTGCATGGAATAAACTTGGAGGAACTCTTAATCATTAAATAGTCTCATCCACGGAACTATTTCTGCTACTGGTTCATTCCTTTCTTAAAGCAGGCTAAAGTTAAACCAGCAGGTTTGCTCTTGTAAAATATTATGTAACATAAATGATTGAAACACCTAAAGTTGGTCATCCTGACGGAGTTTAAATTCAGTAATTCCTGTGATCTGATCAGTTTTGGAAATTTAAAACTTTTTCATTGTTTTCCAAATGTTCTTGTGTGGATGGCAACTTAGCTTCCCTTTCTTTTAGTTTTTGGAAGAAAAGGGTTGTGCTGTGTTTTGGGCTGGACACATTATTTACAGCAGCTTTCAAAGCAACCCCCTCTTGTGGCAAAGTGAAGGTTCCTCTGTGCACTCTCGAAGACTCTGAAGAGATTGGTATATAAAAAATAAAAATAAAGGCTGTCTTGAATCTTACATCTCTGGAACAATGTAGTAAATGTACTTGCTAAGGAAAGCAGCTTAATATCAACTATCTCTGTCTAATGCTTCAAAAAGTTGTCAAACTGGGATTTTTATTTATTTCAGAGCAAGTTCTTTTGCTGTGGGAAGTTACACAGGCATAAAATTGGACTGTTGTCATTAAAGATATAAAAAACATCCACCTGGGATTTTCTGTGGCAGGTGCTTTATTTACAGGTGAGCCTGGCTTTATAGAAGTTCTACATAAAGCAATGTTCTTTCAATTAAAAATGCTCATTTTTATAATGTTTTCTTTTTCATTTCTTAATTATTTTATTCCTATTGATCCCAGCAGGAGCGTTAACTTCAGAAAATGAGTTGCAGAATTTAATCAGTGAGCACTTCTTACTGTGGTCTAACTGTTAAAAGGGTTGCAACAGCTATTCTGCAAGTGTACACACTGTCTGTGGCAAAGATTTGTCCAAAGAATATATAAAGATTGAATTTATGTAAAAAAGCTAGTGATTTTTGTATGCAAACCTGGTACCAGATTTTATAAACTGTGAGAAAGGTTTAGCATAAAAATTAAAATATAAAACTTTTCAGTAATGCCAATATGTGAACAATTGAGCTAAATCTTGTCTTTGTTTCCCCACAAGTGGTCTCCCTGAGAGGTGCTTCCTGTCACTTCCAGGCATATTGTCAAATTTTGAAAGGAAAAAATTGCAGAGAAAATGTGAATTAAAAGGGTGCAGCACCTGGCAGGTCTGGGATCCACATCCTATATTGTTTAATTTATGTTCTGCTCAGTTTAAGCAGAATTTAGTCACAGCTTCTTGGCTGTAAAGTCCCTAACATGGGAAAGCCTGGATAGCCTGAATTCCCCCCAAAGCCATTATTGCCATGGCAACCAGAGTGCACGGCAGTCCATGGGCATGTGGCTGCAGCCCTGCTGCCTCCTGGCTATCCCAACCAGCTGAATAATGTTAGGAAGCTGCCGCTAATCGTGAGATTTGCCTCACTCTCCGGTCAGTGACCATGTCAGGAATCCAAGATCCGAGTGCAGGGATGTAAAATGAAATTTCTTGAGGAATTCTCTCCTTTCAGTTCTACTGCCCACTAGAATAAGGTGCATGAGAGAACAGGGTTGGACATTAAGAAATTTACTTTTTGTTTCTTCTAACCACCAGTTTAGCACATGGTGCTTCCATTTCTGTATCCAGCTTGAATGGTAAAATTCAAATGTGTTACTGCATGTTTGTGCATGAAGGAGCTAATCCATATGCAGATGAATTAAAATTAATTAGAGCTAAAACCAAGAAAGTGTACATTTCTAGCTAAGGGCTACTTGCAACTAAATAAGTTATTCATTGTGGACCTGCTCATATAATTTTCTGTAAACCATATTCTACTTTTTACAAAAAAAAAATTAAATACCAGTTTCATGCTGAAGAACTAATGTCTCCATACAGTATGTGTGAATCTTTAAATCAAAATATCAAATTCTACATCTGGCCTGTGAATTTTAAGGGATATTAAATGTTGGGCTATATCTTAGAGGACTGTATTTATAAGGCACATCACTCCATGCAGAATTTTTTCCTCTTAATTCCTGGGACTTCATAGTTACCAGCACTCCAGCCCTGACTCACTCTGAGTTTTCATTCGTGCAACTAAATGAGTAAGAACTTAAACCCATTACTTTCATGGTAGACCTGAGCAAGAGGCACCCACTTATCATGGCTTTGATTGTAAGAATAATTCTGTGGTTGGGATCCTCATTTTCCACTCTACATTCAGTACACAAATCAAATGCTGGGGTACAAAGTTGTCCAAGGTGCTTGCCCAAGGTCCCAAATAATCCTTGAGCTCCTTGGCTTGTGCTCCCTACTGTGGGTTACTAAAAGCATCTGGAGCATGGCATTAGGTCGATTTTCTCCCTAGCAATGTCTCCTCCTTTAGCTTCATTTAGCTTTAAGTGGGAAAGGATGTGGGAATTCTCATCAGAGAGGTAAATCCTCAGCTCTAGAATTTCCTGATTCTTCAGTATTCATTTCCACTGGATAAGATACTGAGCAGTGTGAAAGGACCAGATCATTTTGCAGCTTGAAAGCCAAAGGCAGATTCCACTTCTGCAAATTAAGATTGCAGAAGTGTCTAGACCAACAGTCTCAGGGAAGATGCCCTTACACAGAGAGCTGATGTACTTAACCAAATTTAATGTCATTTAACACCTGTGAAAATCCAGAGCCTGCTTTCACACATAATGTAATGCCCTTGTTTGTGCATTTGCTAGGTTAGTATTTTTACTGTTTTATAGGGTATTATTAAGGATACTTGAATTTAGGTTGAACTGATTTTTTTAGAGGTGATTGCTTTAATAATGGATGATTCCAACAGGCTTGAGCCATGTCTTCTGCCAGGAGAGGCCTCAGCAGCAAGTCTGATGTCTGTTGCTCAGGTCTGAGTTGTGGGGAGGTCAATTTGTTTTGTGAGGGCTGAGAAGTTCCCACAGGCTAATTCAGAGGAATTAGAGAGGGAATTATGGAGAAATTAGATTCCACTTTCTTGTATTTAAATGGTACCTGAAGTGCCCCATAGGCTTGTCCCATTTTCTCCTTTAAAAAGGTTACTTTTATCCCTTATCTCCTTCCCACAAACTGATCACCCAACTCACCATTAAATGCTGAATAATTATAACACACAACCCTGAGGGAGGACAAACACTCGTTTTCTTGGTGGTTTGAAGAGGACTTTGACAGTTCTTCAATCATCCCTAGTTATCCAGACAGCCTGTTCCAGTGGGTTTTAATGCATTCAAATAGGATATGACAACCTCAGCCAGGGAAAACTGGGCATGGATGGAATTGCCATGGTGCCTGTAAGCAGGTCGGGGAGTATCCTGGTTTTGAAACATTATCATGTCAGATGTTACAGCAGCAGTAGCAGCTTCCTCGTTTGTTTTTTTTTTTTTTTTTTTTCCATGCAAAGAGAAGTCATAGGGAGCTGCTGGCCAAAGAGCACTGCCAGCTTCTCTCAGTATTTTGGTACTACAAAGGTGGCATTATTAAAGACGGACAAAAAAAGCCTCTAATCATGCAAACCAAACTGAATCCTAGGAGCTGAAAACCCCTTCCTTTGTGCACTTGGAAACCTTGTTAAGAGCTAACTGGTGTCTATGTATGAAGGCTTTTCTGCAGCACTTTGGCTGCAAACTGAGAGAGGTGTGAGATGCTGTTTCTGTGAGCACTGAAAATTGGGAATCAAGAACCATCCTCATTGCTGCTAATGGACATCCTGACCTTTCTGCAGAGCGTTGCTGAATTTCGTATCTAAAACTTTAAATGGGCACTCTAGGCTTTGGCTGGCAAAAAATTTGATGATTCTGTTTGCAGCAAAAATTCTGGCACTGCAGAACTTTTCATTGTATGACTTATATTGAATATTCCCCTTATTAACTGAATATCCACAGCCATGTAGCAGGTAAATGCTGAATATTTATGCAAGGAAACATTACTGTTTGTATATAGCTTAAAGATATATTAAAATTGAACTAGTGCTATGTTATTTTGGTGAAAGGAAACTGTACATTTAATTACAGGAGAGAAATTAAGTGTTGGACATGAACATTATGTGCCTCTCAAATCCTGATATGCTTCTGTATGTGTATATATACATATCTGTGTGTGTGTACAGTGAGCGTATCCATATGCTTACATACACACAGAACTGATATAATCTGGAAAACAAGACTTTCCTGACAGGGCTATTTCTCAATACTTCTTCCCAAACTTATGTTTATCCCTTATAAGCTGAATACTACCTATGTAAAGAAATATATCTCTATGGAAATCTCCTAGTTTTGTTAGAAACAAAGGTGGTATTTCTGGCTCAAAACTAATTCAGAGCCAGCTGCTGCATCTCCGAGATCAGCCAGAGCAGAAGTGATTTTAAGACATTGTTTTATTCTCACAGATTTAAATGCAAGAATTGGCTTAATTCCTAGTTTACATTAACACAGTTCCTGTGATTTTCACCATTTTCCTTCAGTCTAGTATTTTGGGTCAATATAAAACCTGTGATGCTGAAATTAACCTTCTGTTCTCTTCCATGTTACTTCTGCTTTTGCAGGCAGCGTAGACACCAAGGAAACTATTTAACAGTGCAGTTTAGAAATTATATACCTGAAAAAGTGAATGGAAGAATCCTTCTCTCGTCTTGCACGTTCTTTATGGTGCCTTTAAATGGTTACAGCAGAAGGCAGGTGAGTCCCTGCCACTTCAGTTTTTGGCTTCACAGGTAAAAAGTACAAAGAAGGAATTAGTGCCAAGTTCCTTGATGGCTTTTGTGGCAAGGGCATCAGTTCACTAGACTGAAACTACCAAATTAACCTCACCTTGGCCAGACTGAATATTTCACCTTTGAGCATGAATAAATGTTAGTGATTCCTGGAAGTTTTAGGCATTGTTATTTGAAGTTGGTCAAGAGACAAAGGGATTTGTGAGGGGATCTGACCTGTGTTTGGATTGACTGTGTGTGGCAAGAAAGGAAACAGTGACAGGTGTTCCCGTGGCTCTTTGCTCAAAAGCTTAAGTGTGTTGTGGGAGCTCAACTCCCAGGTCGGAGCTAGAACTGTTCCTGAGTCAATATTTATGTTTACTCTTTTCGGTGTGAATTACAATGCAAACAGATGGCCTAGTCAAAGGCACTTCAATATGAACTGTGCTCAGGAGAACAGGGAATTTAGCTTTGAAATAAATAATTTGCCCTGTTTGTTATGGCACAAATGAACAATATCAGGTCTGCTGGTTTTTTTATGTTATGAGTTATTCCCTTTTATATCTTACATGTGTTATTTTCACTTAATTTAAGGATTAATTAAAGGCAATGACAAGGTTTTTTTCAGCTGTTTTTCACCTTCCTAGAAATAAGGATTTCTTAACCAAGAACAGGGAGAGGACCATCTTTCATACCTTTTTCTCCTAGTTTTTTGAGGTTTTTGTTTGCTTGGGTTGGGGTTTTGTCTTTTTTTCAGAACTACATGGCATGTAATCTTACTTTCAGTGGCTAGATTGTAAATTACTTTTTATTTAGTGACTGTCAGCCTTAATGAATTGTAATTTGACAAAAGCTGTGTAAATACCTCCATACAGAGGAATAAGGCATTCACGCAAACAGAAAAAGGGAAAAAGAACACTTCAGTGACTAAGAGTATTATCTGGCACAGCACAGGGGCAAATCTTTTTGTTGGTAGCTGAGTCAAAAGACTACATGTGGAGACCTTAATGGCAGCTGAGGACAAGCTGCTCCAAGCTTCAGGTGGAGATAAAGACATTCCTGTAGGATGCCTGAACTCGGAGTGACCCAGAGGGATGGGGTCAAGCAGCACAACCTATATGAACAGACATATAAAGTCTGACTCCAGTTAAAGTTGGCAATTTGAGCTGTGGTGTTTGTGCTTAGCTTCAGTTTCTAATGTTAGTCCTGCTCAGTAGTAGATACCTGAATCTGGACAGCTCTTGCTATTTGTTTTCTAAAAGAGGATGCAGAGCTTGGCCACTTCGGTTGTATAACTGAGCAATTGCTATTGAAGTTCAGGAGCATTAGGTATTCTCTCTGGAAGATGAAAGCATTGTACATGTTGATTAGTAACACTGACAGAGCAGACTTTACCGAAGTACACCGCCTTTTCAGCAAAGGTATGCTGTGCATGCTGATTGCACTGGATCCCTTAAACTTTTAATTCCATGGGCGTTTATCTGTTTTTAAATATTTCACATGCTCTCTGACCATACGTTTTACAGAGGAGATTTCTGTGTAGAGGGAAGGTAAATTTGGCCAAATTAGTAACAGACACTCTGCCCATGGCAAGCCAAGAAGGGACACGAGGCCTCATTGTGTTTTTATTCATTGTTAAAAAAGATACTTCAATAAGGACTTAGACACCCGTAACACATTAATCTCAAAACCAGGATATCTTAGCAGCACTAAAATTATAATTTCAGACAGGAACCCTGAAACTGCCTCACTTTAAGGGCAATTTGAGTCCAGCAGTAGGGATAACCCATACACAGTGCAAAGGCAGCTCCCATTCCTGTTGACCTTGGAGAGGGTGCTGCTTGGCATCCTGCCCTCTCTGCGA